GAGCCTGAGCTATGGCTTCTTTCACCTGTTTAAGAACTAATGTTGCTAGTTCAGTTAAAGTTCTAGAGGAGGTGGGGTCAGGATCACCTGGCAAAATTGTAAAAAGTGGTGGTAATTGGCCAGCAGTCAATTTTAGCATAGAGCAAAGCCAATTAATGTCTCCAGGGAGTTTTTGAAAATCATTTAAAGTATATGTATACAGTCCCAGTGAATTTGCAGCCTCTGAGGATGAATAGTGTGACCAGAAATGATTGTTACTAGATACTTAAAAGGAGCCAATTTTTATACTTTTGAGTGGGGGGAGTTTCGCTCTTGTTACCCAGGCTGGAGTGCAATGGCGCGATCTCGGCTCACCACAACCTCCGCCTCCTGGGTTCAGGCAATTCTCCTGCCTCAGCCTCCTGAGTAGCTGGGATTACAGGCACGCGCCACCATGCCCAGCTAATTTTTTGTATTTTTAGTAGAGACGGGGTTTCACCATGTTGACCAGGATGGTCTCGATCTCTTGACCTCGTGATCTACCCGCCTCGTGATCCACCCACCTCGGCCTCCCAAAGTGCTGGGATTACAGGCTTGAGCCACCACGCCTGGCCTGTTGGCATTTTTAAAAGCCATTTGTTTTGCTAACACATTGTTGGTTTTTGGGTCAGCTATAAGCCATCCTATTGCCTGAAGTGGGTGGGCAGTGAAGTCTGCATATGGTTCCTCTGGTCCCTGGACAATTTTACTAAGTTTTTGGGACTTTTCACCTTTGGCTGGAAGAGACCTCCAAGTCTGTGCAGTACAAATATTTATTTGTCGATAAGCCTTTAAAGGATAGCCAAGCTGATTTTGTAAGGGCTCAAAGTTTTTATTACTCACTAACATATCCACAGATTTATTCACACATGAGCTGTATTGTGCTCAGCCTGCTGACTACATCTTATCGTGGTAATCATATTCCCATTTTAGATAATCTCTCAGATCCAAGCCTGCTTTTGCAAGATTATACCAATCCTTAGGGGCCAAGGCATCATTGGCCAAGGCATCCAAGAGAGTATCACAAATGGGGAATAGGTCCATAAGAGGCTGAAGCTGTTTTTAAATCTCTGTATAATTTAAAAGACAAAGGATCATGCTGTCTCAGCATCTGTCCTGGATTATTAGGGTCTGGGCATACCAGCACGGGGCAAACCTGAAGCCCCTCCGCATCCTCCCCTCGTGCCATCGCCCCACATAAAGCTGCCTGCAGGGGGTAGATCTTAAAATGAGTTTCATTATGTCCCTTGCGTTTTTCTTGTATGAGCCCTCTGGGCTTTGGTTCAGTAAAATTAAGAGCTGCAAACGTTTGAGGTCAATGGTCCTGCTTCTCTCTAGTTATTTCATCCTTTAATTTTTGTTGATACTTTGGGGGCAGAGGCTCTTCTGAGCCATCTTCATCACCCTGCTTCTCAAAAGAGGAAGCAGTTTCAAGTAAGACTTGGGGTGGCGGAGGGAAGTCCATAGGTGGGGCAGAAGGCTCGGCTGCCTGGGCATCTTCACTTGTCTCCTGGCCTTTAGGAGATGCCGAGATAGCCTGAACTCTCCTCAGTGTGTTAGAAAGAGCAGTAATACAATTTTGTTGGTCTGACTATCCTGAGGTTAAATGATAATAAAATACTGTACCAACACAATAAAGAAAATTACAGTTTAAACAGAATTACTGAAGAACTGTTTTCTTTTAAACTTGTCTGCCTCATGTTGGGGGTCTAAAGCATCCCTAATCAAAGACCAAAGAGCAAAAGTATAAACTGGCATCGTCTGATGTCCCTTAGCTGTGTATTTGTTATGTAACTGCTGTCCTACCCTTATCCAAGTAGCTAAACTAACTGTGTCCTGTTCCAGAAACCATGGGCAAATCTGCTGCACAAAGTGTAGAAAATTTTCTAGCTGCCCTTTATGTACACAACATCTTTTACCCTTAAGGAGGGCAAGCAGCACTTTCACATACAAAGAACTATCACTAGACAAAGAATTGCCCATGCTTAACGCAATTATTACATGCAAATTAAGGGGCAAATTATGCAGAAATTTCCCAGGCACAAGCAATCCTCCTGCCTCAGCCTGGCAACATGCTGGATTACAGGTTTGAGCCACCATGCCCAGTCAAGAGTCTGATTTTTTTATTCTTTGTTAATTACAGCAGCTGGATTCTTGGTCTTGGTCAACAGATTGGTAAACTTCAGAGAAAAACAATTCGCAGGCTAAATATTTAGTAGTTTACAGGATGATGCAAAAACTGGAGAACAAGGCTCAGTCCATCATCATGAGAGGCAAAATGTGGCCAAAGATTACCCCAGGAATGGCCCGCCTGGAATGCCACCACTGCTGCCAACACAGCTGGGCCCTTGACCAGATTCTTTTCAGCTCTTTCCATTAGGAAGAGCAGTTAATTTCTGCACTTCTTGGATCTTGGGTCACTTTATGACTTGATCTGAAGTATACTTCAGATCAATCCTGCAGAAGGAACACTGTAAGGGCTAGACACAGTGACTCACAACTGTAATCCCAGCACTTTGGGAGGCCAAGGCAGGAGAATTGCTTAAGCCAAGGAGTTTAAGACCAGCCTGGCCAACATAGTGAGACCCCCTCTCTATAAAAACAAAAATTAAAATGAACTGGATATGGTGACATGCATTTGTAGTCCCAGCTACTCAGGAGGCTGAGGTGAGAGGATCCCTTGAACCCGGGACGTTGAGGCTGCAATAAGCCATGATTGTGCCACTGCATTCCAGCCTGGGCAACAGAGCAAGCTCCTGTCTCAAACAAACAAACAAACAAAAGGCCGGGGGCACAGTGGCTCATGCCTGTAATCCCAGCACTTTGGGAGGCCACAGCAGGTGGGTCACAAGATCAGGAGACTCGGGCAACATGGTAAAACCCCATCTCTACTAAAAATACAAAAATTATCCAAGTGTCTCTACTACAAATACAAAAATGGTACACTCCTGTAGTCCCAGCTACTCAGGAGGCTGAAGCAGAAGAATCACTTGAACCTGGGAGGCAGAGGTTGCAGTGAGCCAAGATTGTGCCATTGCACACCAGCCTGGGTGACAGAGTGAGACTCAGTCAAAAAAAAAAAAAAAAAAAAAATATTGGAATTGGAATTGGGACTGAGACACCTAAAAAAAAACTGGGAACCTCAAATGCTAAACCTTCTGTGAAAAGCTGGGGTAGCAAAAAAAAAAAAAGAAAGGAAAAAGAGAAAATCTCACCCTCCAGCGTGGGTGAACAAAGAGGTTTACTTACTTCTTTTATCGGAGTGGAAAAAGGGCCTCCCCCAACAACTCAAAGTCTGGGTTTGTACTTGGCATGAAATTGAATCTAGACTTACACATCCTACATGATCCAGGGGACCAGGCAAAGAAATTAATTCAAGTATTGCCCCTGAGATCTGGAAGGCACGTCTGGCCCATCCCTCCCAGACACTGTGCTTGCAGGTAAGACAATCAGGCCAGGATTTTATTTAGTACCATACTGATCTCCATGCAATTTCCTCTTGCCCTTTACCCCCCAGAAATAGGACTTGTGTGGACTGAGCCAAGCAGCATAGGTGGACAGTGAGCTTGTCCACTTGCTAGCTGATGGATGACTTCGATTTCTGCTTCTGCACCGGACGTGGGCAGTATTTCCTTGGTCTGATTATCCTTCTCCCAGTGATAGAAACACTTTCCTTGCTATTCTGATCCAAATCCAAAGAGGGTGACCTGGTGGATGAGAGAGGGACATGTGCATCAGCAGATGGACTCCTGTCCTTACCGCTGCCTCCCTTCACGCAGCACCTAGGATGACAGGTTGCCCCTTGGAGCTGGGAGGAGACTAGAGCTCACTTCTTCCGGGAAACAGACTCTGGACACACTGAGATAAACACACTCCTATAGTCACCTAGGAGCCCCAAAAAGAGAATGTCAACTAGCTTCTCTTCATGACAGTGGAGGAAGACAGGGGAACACCCCAGGACATAAGAGAAGGGCGTTCCAGGCAAACGGAATGGAGCATGAGAAGGCATGGGGCAGCTTGTGTGTTTAGGGAATTCTTTTTTTTTTTTTTTTTATTGAGACGGAGTTTCGCTCTTGTTACCCAGGCTGGAGTGCAATGGTGCGATCTCGGCTCACCGCAACCTCCCCCTCTTGGGTTCAGGCAATTCTCCTGCCTCAGCCTCCTGAGTAGCTGGGATTACAGGCATGAGCCACCATGCCCAGCTAATTTTTTTTATTTTTAGTAGAGACAGGGTTTCACCATGTTGACCAGGATGGTCTCGATCTCTTGACCTCGTGATCCACCCGCCTCGGCCTCCCAAAGTGCTGGGATTACAGGCTTGAGCCACCGCGCCCGGCCGTGTTTAGGGAATTCTAAGAGCCCATATGAAAGCCTGGGAGACAGGAGGCGAGGGGAGGGGTCAGAACATGTAGAGTCTTTTTTTTTTTTGAGATGAAGTTTCACTCTTGCTGCCCAGGCTGGAGTGCACTGGCGCAGTCTCAGCTCACTGCAACCTCCGCCTCCAGGGTTCAAGTCTCCTGTCTCAACCTTCCAAGTAGCTGGGATTACAGGCACCCACCACCACGCCTGGCTAATGTTTGTATTTGTAGCAGAGACAGGGTTTCACCATGTTGGCCAGGCTTGTCTCCAACTCCTGACCTCAGGTGATTCACTTGCCTTGGCCTCGCAAAGTGCTGGGATTACAGGCGTGAGCCACCATGCCCGGCCTAAATGTAGAGTCTTGAAAGCCAGGCAGAAAACTTTAGACACCCTGCTGAAGGCATTGAGGAACAGGCATTTTAAGAGAAGATACGAGAATCTTTCTTTCCTGGGCACAGTTGTGCAAGACACGGAACAGAGCCCTGGGCCCCAGGGATGACCCTCACCCTGGGAATGCAGCCAGTTTCCCTGGTTGCCCCTGGGGAGGAAGGGGGAGGGCCCTTCCCCAGCAACCCACAGCAACATCCTACCCCTTCTCCTATCCCCCCTCACCATGTCTTTGCTGTCTTTGCTATCTTACGCTCCACTAGGGAACCGGACCATCTTCCAAAATCTGAGAAAGAATTGGAATGTGTTAACCTACCCTGTTAGCCTAATCAACTCTTTTTTTTTTTTTTTTTTTTTTTTTTTTTTTTGAGACGGAGTTTCGATCTTGTTACCCAGGCTGGAGTGCAGTGGTGCGATCTCGACTCACCAAAACCTCCGCCTCCTGGGTTCAGGCAATTCTCCTGCCTCAGCCTCCTGAGTAGCTGGGATTACAGGCACGCGCCACCATGTCCAGCTGATTTTTTGTATTTTTAGTAGAGACGGGGTTTCACCATGTTGACCAGGATGGTCTCGATCTCTTGACCTCGTGATCCACCTGCCTCGGCCTCCCAAAGTGCTGGGATTACAGGTGTGAGCCACCGTACCCAGCCTCAACTCATTCTTAATTGAAGGAGCTGGATAGACTCCATCTTAGCTTCTTCACTTATAGTTATTTTCCTTCCATTAAGTATGTAGCTGTAGTGTGTAGCTGGGGCAAGATGACGCCAGGCACACACAGGAATGCATTTACCGATAAGACACCGAGTCAAGCAGTACCAGCAGCCCCTGGGAATGCAGATGCTGCTAAGTACCCAGAGCCCCCAGATCTGTAAGTTGCATGTCTTTTGTGACAGCTTAAGCTTCTGCACCTGGAACTGTTTACTTCTTATGTACTAGTATATCTTTTAACTTGCTTGCTCTGCTTTTGTGAAAAATTGCTTAAGTGAGGTCACCCCTCCCCTTTGAAACTAGGGTATAAGAAAACCACCTAGCTCTTTCTTTGGGGCCGAGAGAACTTTGGGCATTAGCCGTCTCTCAGTCATAGGCAATAAAGGACTCTTTATTGAGTCTCAGAGTGTGGCACGTTCCTTTACTCACTCAGGTACAGCAGGAGTTGGGGGAGTTTGGGCCCCAAGACCTGGGAAAGTCCTGCAGGTATCCCCAGTAAGCCAATAGAGGGGCTTCCCAGGACCCCTGCTGCTACTCCCTGCCATGACCTCCCCTCACCCGCACACAGGCAATGTTTGGGGACCCCTCTTCCATCACCTCGTCACTCAGAGCATCTGAAGGCCACACCAGCTCAAAGAGCTTCCGCAGCAGCATCTCCAGCTGCGCCCAGGAACCCTGGTCACTGGCATTCCTGGGACAGATGAAGCATTATGTGTGGTTTGGTTCCCCAGTCCATCTCAAAACCCTGGACTAGGGCCCACTTCATCTTGGGAAGGGGAGCAGAAACTGACAGAACTGTGGGGCAGGCCTGGCTGGCCCTCCTGCTCCCACCCTCTCCCCAGCACCCACCTGAAAACCAGGGGGTATTGGTCGATGTCATTGCCATGGCTGGAGCCCTGCAGGATCTGTGGGTGCCCCAACAGCGCACAAGTCCCACAATAAAAATCAGAATGGTTCACCGAGAGCCTGGGAATCACTTTAAACAGCTTCTTCCACAATTTCCCAAGCTTGCTCCCCGAGTTCATGCCCTGGAAACAGCAGGAGGGAGGACACTGGGGGCTGGGCCCAGGGGAGGGAAAACACAGCTGGGTGGGTAAGATCTCCATCCAGGGCCTGTGAAGACAGGGCTGAGGCCAGGGGGTTGGGCTGGAAAGTGGGAGATTGGTGAGGCCTGGGAAGCAGAGGGATGGGACGGGGCCCAGTGTTGACCACTGACCAACCACCAGTGCACAGTGTCAGAAGTCACAGACTCCCTGGTCCTCGTCAGGTACCCCATGGTCTTCCTGGAGCACGCATCAAGCCAGTTCCATTCTGTGGCTGGGTGGGGCCAGGAGGAGCAGTTGAGGGTCTCCGAAGGGCAGCCAAACGTCCCGAAACCGAACCAGGGGCAGTTGCAACGCCATGGAACCAAGTACATTCGTTTTTCCTGGGGTGCTGATTCAGGTGTCAGATCCAGATAGGGGGCCATCAGCCAGAGGAGGAGCACCCAAAAGATCCACAGGACAAAAATCTGCCAGCGCTTCATGTCTGTCCCAGGCAGTGGCTCCGTGACGGGCGGCAGACTGGCTTCTCTACCTGGAAGGATGAGGGGCTGAGGCCACAGACAGCAACAGCTTCTCTCCATCCTGTCGGCCTCCACGCTCCCCGTCCCAAAACCCCTCACCTCCTTCCAACCCCTCCCTCCTCTCCTGCCTCACTATCCATTTGCTCACCCCCAAAAAGGACTACAGCTGGGCATGGGGTAGAAGAGGCCAGGGCAGAGAGACAGCATGTGGTTAGTACTGCGGAGGGCAGGAATACCTCTCAGTAGGGTCCTTGGTGTCCCTAGCTATAGGACAGATCTCATCACAAAGTACACATTGTGACCTCCCTCCTTTAGCCTGCCTGGAAAAAGCCACCACCCTACCCTTTCTGACATCCAAACATCCTCCACTGGATATAAGATGACCTAGTCTTTCTTCTTCACCTCTGCAGCCCTAGGACTTAGAATCATTAAAAAAAACAAACAAACAAAAAAAAACCCTTAGAATCATTTAGTAAATATTTATGGAATAAATAAACAGGCGTTGAAAGGGAACTTCTTTTCTTTGAGATGGAGTTTTTGCACGGTCATCCAGGCTGGAGTGCAGTGGCGTGATCTTGGCTCGCTGCAACTTCCGCTTCCTGAGTTCAAGTGATTCTCATGCCTCATCCTCCCAAGTAGCTGGGATTACAGGCAGATGCTTGTACTCCCTGGGTCTGCTTGGAGTCAGCTTAACCCAGCTACATGCTCAGGGTCAGGAAAGAGAAGGAGGGGCAAGTAAAGAAGCCAACATGGAATCTGTCCGGCTCAAGAAGCTAACCTGGAGTCTGAACAGCTCTTGGCTAAGAAAGAGAGTCAGTTAGGCTAACAAAAGGTAGGTTATCACACTTGCAGCTCTCCAGGACTGAAGGCCCTGAGCCCTGAGATTCATCCACATATTTATTGGCTCTTTGACAGGTGATTCTTATTAATACACAGGTGTTCTACATATACACATAACTCAAGAATATACCAAGTAGGCAGCTGTCACCTGCCTACCACTAAATACAAGCTAAAAGGTATCCTCCACAAAGGAGCCATGGTGGGCAGGGTAAACTTAATGTTTCTCAACCTCTTCCCCCTTCTTTGTTTCACAAAGCTAGGTAAGCAAGCATAGCTCTATCTTGGTGAACCATTTCTTGGAGGCTTCTGGATCCATACCTGCAGACTACACAAAGAGAAACAGAACAGATCAATAACATAATCATAACAGCAATCATAGATCCTCCAAGTGTTTTCATCCAAATTTTAGGGCTGCCAATCCATCAACAGCTTCCTCAGGCACCTCGGAACCTGACTGACTACCTACTCTTACATTTTTTCTTAAGGAGTTGGGACCCAGAAATCTTTTGGAAAATAGGGTGAAGGTCGTTCTCCTGTAGCTAATTCCTGCTAAAAAGGGGCGTCGAGGGCCCTCTGGGTCCTCCCCTCCTTGCTTGCTGTCCAAAGTCCTTTCCAGGTGCTGATTTATTCTGTCCTGATTATGTTCAGTCTCATCATACTTTTAGAGTTCCTAAAGTTAACCTGTAACTCTCCTACCACCAAAAGATATAGGGGGTTTAGCATAGCCCTGAATCTAAAGAACTTTTAAAAAATTCTTGTAAATTTCCAATGAATGAGAACTAGGGCCTGATTTTCTATTTTCCTTCCCGGACTTTTACTGGTTTTAGGGCCATAGGTATTTTGCAAAGTTTTTATCCAGCTCTTATTATTGGCCACATTATTTTTGGTTGTGGCTCTATTAATTCCCCATTTCTCCAGACAATAGAGTTGTTGGTCTCGGTATGTATAAATTCTAAGTAATTGCAGTTCTTTATTTGCCATCTGAATTCCGTATTACTCCAAGACTACTGACGGGTGCAATCATTGCTAAGTATCCCCCAGGGGACCAATAATCAATAATAATTCCATGGGAATTGTTGTGCAGCATCTCAGCCTCTATCACAACAGGTTAATGTTTTTAACTTAGGGGACCATTCTTTATTTGCATTCAGGTTTTGATGGCCAAAACATTGTTACTTTATTTCCTAAATTATTACAGAAAATACTAAGGCTAGAGATCAATAAAGGAAGGAAAGATGCCCAATGTATAAAACTTTCTTTTACTTCTTTTTCTTTCTTTCTTTTTTTTTTTTAAAGAGAGGGGGTCTCACTATGTTGCCCAGGCTGGAGTGCAGTGGCTATTCACAGGCTCGATCCCACTACTGATTAGCATGGGAGTTTTGACCTGCTCCGTTTTCCGACCTGGGCTGGTTCATCCTTCCTTAGGCATACCTGGTGGTCCCCCGCTCCCTGGAGGTCACTGAACTTAGTGGGGACACCTGATTGGCATAGCGCACTACAGCCCAGAACTCCTGGATTCAAGAGCTCCTCCAGCCTCAGCCTCCCAAAGAGCTGGGACTACAGGCACGTGCCACCATGCCCGGCACTTTCTTTTACTTCTATCCCAACTCCAGAAATGCTCACTTTAATCATGATAACCGTCATCATGATTAGCATAATAGGCTGTCCCGCTTTCTTCAGGTTTTCCTCCGATATTTGTGAAAGCTTCTTTAATCTGACTCCAAGTCGGTGGTGCTGTTTGGCGTGTTCCCGCCGTGGAAGCAGTACTCCACCTCCATGTTAGTCTCGCCATCTCTGTGACTGGGGGGTTCCTCTGCAAGTCTCTTTTTTCGGTATTTGGCTTATAGTATGGCTTTAAATGTCTGGAAGGTACCCACACAGGTTGTTGATTAGAAATACAAGCAAATCCTCTCCCCTGGCTTATTACATTGACTTTTTCCAATTCTTTGTGAGTGGGTCTTGCCACCAGATTAATTGCCTTACAGTTTCTTCCTTGGTTTGTTTGTTCAGGTGTTGTTCAGTAAATTTTCTAAAGCCTCCAGTTTTTCTTTTCTTTTTTTTTTTTTTTCTTGGAAAATGGGTTCTTGCTATATTGCCCAGGCAGGTCTTGAACTCCTGGGCTCAAGCTATCCTCCCACCTCTGCCTCCCTAAGAGCTGGGATTACAGGCATGAGCCACAGCACGCGGCCATGCCTCCAGTTTTTCTTTTGTTAGCGGCCATTGCTTTATACATATAGGTTTGTTTTTTATCCATTTCAAAGCGATAGGCTCTGGAGGCTTAACAATGGCTGCCATCAAAATATATCCTAAATCCTCGAGAGAATTTTGTCCTTTAATTTCTTTTCTTTTTTTTTTTTTTTTTTTTTTTTTTTTTGAGACGGAGTTTCGCTCTTGTTACCCAGGCTGGAGTGCAATGGCGAGATCTCGGCTCACCGCAACCTCCGCCTCCTGGGTTCAAGCAATTCTCCTGCCTCAGCCTCCCTAGTAGCTGGGACTACAGGCGTGAGCCACCATGCCCAGCTAATTTTTGTATTTTTAGTAGAGACGGGATTTCACCATGTTGACCAGGATGGTCTCGATCTCTTGACCTCGTGATCCACCTGCCTTGGCCTCCCAAAGTGCTGGGATTACAGGCGTGAGCCACCGCACCCGGCCTTAATTTCTAAACATTCCCTCAGGCTCTGCAAATTTTCTTCCAATCCCATATTAGGCACAGAACTCTTGTCCTGCATCATTTGATGGTCTGGTGGAGCTACATGATTGTTCAGGTATTAAAACCTGAGCTCCCCATGTTGTACCCAAAGCAAGTTTAAAACAGAAGTGCCACTCTTGAGTTTGCTGAGAGTCTGTTTAATGCCTGCTTCCAAGAGTCAGCTGTTGCTCAAACCTCTCAGCCCAGATCAAAAGGCAGTCAACATTTTTATACCTTTTCAGGGTTAGAGGGGCAGAAAGCAAAATTGTTACAGAAGCAGAAAGAGCAGGTTAGGTGAGGGAGAGCCTAACAAAGATTCTATTTAAAGTTGTTTGTCAAGCAGGATGTGGGGTAGGCAGTTACACAGCTACAGGTACAGGATGTATATAGGGCCAGTGGGCCCTGTTTCTCAGAAAAATAGGTTGCAAAATCCCAGATGTCTCAGGCTACAAAGTTTCAGGAACAAAGTGCTCTACATAGCTCAGGGTGGTTAAAATGGAGTTAACAGGATTGCTTAAAATGGAGTCACCCTGGCTAAGCTAGATTATCTCACCCATTGCTGCAACAAGTCTCTTTCCCACAATTTAACGGGGATTTGCATCACAATAGGCTGAGTGGTTCCAAGCTGTCCCTCAGGCTCCTCACAGGTTAAAATGTGACTACTTTGATATGAGTCCAAGCACATTGAACTGAGCATTTTCCACCAGCCAAGACAGTGGCCAGTGCTGGAAAGAGGTACTAGAAATATCTGCTCCATGCCGGGCGCGGTGGCTCAAGCCTGTAATCCCAGCACTTTGGGAGGCCGAGGCGGGTGGATCACGGGGTCAAGAGATCGAGACCATCCTGGTCAACATGGTGAAACCCCGTCTCTACTTAAAAAAAATACAAAAAATCAGTTGGGTGTGGTGGTGCATGCCTGTAATCCCAGCTACTCAGGAGGCTGAGGCAAGAGAATTGCCTGAACCCAGGGGGCGGAGGTTGCGGTAAGCCGAGATAGCACCATTGCATTCCAGCCTGGGTAACAAGAGCGAAACTCCGTCTCAAAAAAAAAAAGAAAAAAAAGAAATATCTGCTCCAGTATCCACCAATCCTTTAAATTTCTTTCCTTGAATCGCAATCTCACATGTAGGATGTTTACCAGTAATTTGATTAACCCAATGTGCTGCTGTGTCTTATTTGTTTGTACCTCCAAATCCTCTCGTTCTTTTTCATATGGTATAACTGCAAACTGTGCAATGCGTTCCCCAGGCTCAGCACTCCAGGGAATGGAAGAAGACATTGCAATTTGAATTTCCCCTATAAAGTCCACATCAGTAATTCCTGTATGAATTCTAACTCCTTCAACAGTAAGACTAGATCTTCCTAGAAGTAAACCCACAGTTCCAAGGGGCAAAGGGCCACAAACTCCTATAGATATTTTTTGCAGTGGCTCTCCCGGTAAAATGCTTACCCTTTGAGAGCTGCGCAGATGCCCTGCTGCGCTCCCAGCTGCGGTGGGGAAGCATTGCATAGGGAGTCGGGAATAGCCTGCACTGGATAGGCCCTGGTTTGGATCCAGGCCCGAGGTGGGCCTCTCAACCCATTTCCCAAAATCAGATCTATTGGAATTAGCCGGTAAGAAATAGCTACGATCTTCAATAATCCTAGCTCAAACAGACTCAGGCCCATACTGGCTGATGGCCTGTCTAAACTCCTTCAGCAGTTTGAAGGGAAGGGGTTCAAAAGCAACCCGTACGTGCCCCTGCTGATCTTGAGGGTGTACAGCAACTGGAAATTGCTATGCCTCCAAATCTCCCTCTTTTCTCACTTGTTTAATTCCGACCTGGATGAAACCAGTTACTGTAATTCTAGGAATACAAACGCCTGAAGTTGTTACCGTAG